GGCTTAAAAGAATGGGTTACTACTGGCCCAGCATGGTGAAGGACTGCCTGGAACACGCCAAAAGGTGCCAAGCCTGCCAATTCCACGCCAACTTCATACATCAACCGCCTGAACCATTACACCCTACAGTTGCTTCATGGCCGTTCGACGCATGGGGATTGGACGTTGTAGGACCAATTACGCCAAAGTCATATGCAGGGGAAGCTTATATCCTAGCTGCAACAGATTACTTCTCCAAGTGGGCTGAAGCCATCCCTTTAAGGGAAGTAAAAAAGGAAACTGTTGTTCGTTTCATCAAGGAGCATATCATCCACCGATATGGGGTGCCTCGCTACATTATCACTGACAACGGAAAGCAGTTCTCCAACTGACTCGTGGACGAGCTTTGCGACAAATACAAGTTCAAGCAGCACAAGTCTTCCATGTATCACGCTCCTGGCCCGCAAGAGCATAAACTGTGTACGGCAAAATCATCATCAAAACCATCACTCATTTGAACTACGTCATGACTTGATCCCCCCTCAACCAAGGGTACGTAGGCAATTTGAAACTTCAAAACTTCAAGTACAGTCACATCATCAAAATAAAAAAAAAAAAAAAAAAAAAGGAAAATAACACATCTTGGTGATGTATATGTTTTATCTGTATTTAGCACAATACACTGATAAAATAAAGCATGTTCATTGATCTCCGAGAAATTACAAGTGCGTATAAAAAAAAAAAAAAAAAGATGAAGCTTTCACAAAGGTTGTTCACGTGAAGACCCACTACGTGGCAAAACTCTAGAAGTGGAAGGCATCGGAGCAGAAGGCATCAGAGCAGGAGGCATTGAAGATAGAGCATTCGAGGCCTCAATACTGGGTGGAACGCTAGATGACCCAGGAAAAAGGTGCCTCTGGAGATAAGTCGCAAGCCTTTGACGGTCACTTTGAATTCGACCTTCAGATTCTTGCAGCTCATCAAGCTTCCTCTTCATGCCCGTCGAATAGTTATTTGCAAGCACATGCAAACTTCTATTCTCATACTTAAGCTGTTTGATCTCTTGCTTAAGATCTTCCACCTCTGCCATCAATGATTCCACTTGACGAGACCGAGCAAGCAGGCGTTGGCCCATGTTGGACACAGAGCTCGCACACTGAACACTGAGAGCGAGGGACTCTTGAACGGCCAACTCATCGGACCGTCCTGAAAGCAGCCTACTATCTTTTGGTGTGAGGAGGTTCCTAGCTACTATTGTAGCTGTTGTTGCATTCTGCATCACTGAGTCTTCACCTGTAAGAGGACCGTTAGAAGATAAGAAAGACGGGCACCATACATTACCTTGACGCGGCGCAACCGGATCACTGCTGAGACTCAATTCTAAGCTAAGGTTCGATGGGTTAGCCATTTTTCAAAGGTGTTAAAAGAGATGGGTGGATGGAGTTAAAACTCAAAAGGCCGGAGATGATTTTCAGGAATGAGCAAACTTCAAAGTGTGCATGTTAGAGGTGATCAATACCTCTATAAAAAGGAAGAGGCGCTTGCTCAGAAATCGAAGGGCCGCTTATTCAAAAGTGAAGAGACATCGCTCTGCAAATCTCAAAAGCTGGATTTTCCGGCATAAGTTGGCGACGCTTTCTCTGCTTTTCAGAAAACGCGTGCAGCTTTGTCAAAAGAGGCGCTCGTTCAGAAATCGAAGAGGCGTCGTTCAGAAATCAAAGAGGCGTATTCAAAGATCGAAGAGTCGTCACTATTTCAAAAAGCCGGATTTGCGGGATCAAAACGTTTGTCGACAAGGGTAAAAGAACAGTACCACCACTTGCTATTGGGAAATCCCTATATATGTCGACCTTCATCTTTTATGGCAAGGCAGACCTGCAAACAAAAAAAAAAAAAATGCCCAACTCTTCCTCACCTCTGAGGGCGCACTCCCAGCCCTGCTTTCAAGTACTCATCTTCAACTATTGATGTACCCCCAAAGAAGATACCAGATGCCTGGAGTACAGATGAGGCAGGAGGAAACGGTAGATCGAAGCATGTGGAGACAAGCACAACAAATATATGTGTTGATTCGTTCGCTGCTTCTTCAAAAGCAAAAGTATCTCATATCATGCTTTCTCCATGTCCTTTCCTTTGTCCTTGTTCTTACTCGCATGGCAAAGTGAAAGAGAGCAATCAGCCGGCACTTGGAGTCAGTCTTCCGATCTGGAACCGACTACCTGGAATCTATTCCCTGGTTGCTTACCTAGCGTTGCTCTCGAGTAGTCATCTTCAACGGTTGATACACTTCCAAAGAAGGGACCACATCTGCTTGGAGAACAGCTAAGACGAGTGACAATGAAACATCAATCTTGTGGATCGTCAGCAAGCGCAACAACTGCATATGCTGAGTCATCCTCTAACCCTCTTCAATACGAATTGGAAAGATTGAAAAAAGAAACAGGTCATCACCTCCACCTCGTGCTTGCCTGCCATGTGTCTGAATCCTGAAACCGCTCATGGTCCTATTTTCATTCAAGATCAAGTCTCGATGGCCCTTGAAGAAATCACAAGTCCGATTCAAAATCAAGTGTTCTCCACCCTTAAATCAAATTCAACTCCAAATAAAAGGAGTAAGTTCAGACCTTTGGGGGAGACCAAAAGAATCCTCCAGCCCAATTCAAGATCAAGCCTCGATGGCCCTTGAAGAAATCACAAGCCCGATTCGAAATCAAGTGTTCTCCACCCTTGAATCAAATTCAACTCCAGATAAAAGGAGTAAGTTCAGACCTTTGGGGGAGACCAAAAGAATCCTCCAGCCCAGTTCAAGACTAAGCCTGTGGAAAATCAACGATTGGAGGAAACCAGAAAATCTTCCAGTCGAACTCAAGATCAAGCCTCAATGGCCCTTGAAGAAATTTCCAGCCCAATTCAAGATCAAGCCTCGACGGCCCTTGGGTTGACATCTACATTAAGGGACTTCAAAACGCATCTTCTACATGTGTCAAGCACATGTCTACGACGCGCCTTGAAGTGGGGGCATTTGTAGACATCGAAATTTCGGTGAAACAAATGTTCACCAATGCATTAAAGTTTTGACGTGTCAAGGCATACATGGCATACGCCACGTGTTGTACAAATTGTACACATGGCGTGTGACTCAACAAAATAGGAAGAAATACCATTGAAGGATTAAACAAGTTTTTCTTCTCATTTTTGGGCAATGACAAGGCAAGCACATTTCAATCCATTAAGGATCAAAACAAGTTTTTCTTCTCATGTTGGGCAATGACAAGGCAAGCACACTTCAATCCATTACGGATCAAAGCAAGTTTTTCTCATTTGGGCAATGACAAAGCATACACATTTCAAGTTTAAAATGGAGTTAAGTGGGAAATTAGGCCATAAGTTACACCACTTCAAGTTTAAAATGGTGTTAAGTGGGAAATTAGGCCATAAGTTACACCACTTCAATTTCAATATTGCATTAAGTGGGAAAATTAGGCAATGATGCTTGGAAAGGAAAAAAATATTTTTGTGGTGGTGATTCATTCTCAAAGCCTATAAATAGGTTTCTCCATCAAGGTATCAAGCATCAAGGGATTCACAAATACATTTCTCTACTCCCAAAATTAGAAGAGGAATTCCCCAAATCCTTGAAGCTTTGAAACTCCAAAGCTTCCAACCATCCAAATTCCCAAGAATTCCGAAGGATTAAGAAAGCTCTCTTCGTTCTTCGTTAAACCATCATTCAAGATCAAGCCCCGACGGCCCTTGAAGAAAGCGTTCATCATTCATCATCCGTTCATCCTAAGATCAAGCCCCAACGGCCCTTTGGATGAACAACCTCAACAAACCCATACACCCATTCTTCAAGATCAAGCCCAACGCCCCTTGAAGATCCATTCATCAACTGTTCATCCTTAGATCAAGCCTCGACGGCCCCTTGGATCACGTTCTTCAAAATTAAGCCCAAAAGCCCTTGAAGATCCGCTCATCCATCAACCTTCAAGATCAAACCCAAAAGCCCTTGAAGAAATCCACACAACCATTATTCAAGATCAAGCCCCAACGGCCCTTGAAGAAAGCGTTCATCATTCATCATCCGGTCATCCTAAGCTCAAGCCCCAACGGCCCTTTGGATCAACAACCTCAACAAATCCACACATCCAATCGTTCTTCAAGATTAAGCCCAAAAGCCCTTGAAGATCCACTCATCCATCAACCTTCAAGATCAAGCCCAAAAGCCCTTGAAGAAATCCACACAACCATTATTCAAGATCAAGCCCCGACGGCCCTTGAAGAAAGTGTTCATCCGTTCATCAACTGTTCATCCTTAGATCAAGCCCCGACGGCCCTTTGGATCAACCACTCATCCACAAACCTACACCCTACGAAGATAGAATCAGAGGACCAAATTTGAGAGAGATCGTAACCCCAAAATCATCAAACAAAATATTATTTTGTACACGTATTCTTGTTTCTTGTTTCAAGGAACTTTCGTGTTCACAATAACCTTGCTTGACTAATGCACGGTATGAAATGGATTCTATGTTAATTTCCCATTGCATGCGATCGTTAGAATTATTTGATGTTAATGCCGTATATGACCGTGCATTATAATTATTTGACGTCAGTGCCTTACATTTGAGTAAGGCGTTTGCCCCGGTTGATTTATTTGGTTTTCCATGTAAGCATGGCTTATACGATTATTAGTGTCGTTTTTTTATTAAATTGTTTTATCATTTTGGGCGATGGGAATATGTATGCATCTCGCCTCCCTTTGAAGTATCAACAATGCACAGAATCCATATGTATGCATCTACACTCCCTTTGAAATCAAACCAAACCAAAAAAACCAAAAGAAAATTTGAACTGAACCGGACCGCACTTGAGCCTCTCTTTATCTGTTTTCCCTTTTGTTTGCCTTCAGTGTGTAATGAATATACTTACAAAACGTGTTTTGCATTGTGATATGTTTTTCTTATGTCTTTTATGCAACATTTGCATATGTACTTACAGTTTTTTCCTCCTATGTGTAGGTTCTCTTTGTGGTTTTCTGGCAGTTAATCGTTTGTTCCTTGCTTTTGTGGGTGATTACTTACTCAAATTTACCCTGGTTAGATTTCTCATCTTCTAAATATTCATTTGTGTCTTTGATGACGTTTTGCTTTAAGTTTTGTTTCTCAAATGATATATATATATATATATATATATTTCTGGAAGGGTTTAGTTGGTTTGTGTTGCTTTGATTAATTAGCAAATCATTGTAATGGCCGTGTTGTTTGTTCGTCTATGTTGTTTCTTGCATAGAAAGTTGGCTATGTCAGTAAGTAAACCATAGTGATTGGCGTCCGGTTTGTTCCTTCATGTAGTATCATGGCTAGAAAAGTGACGATATCTAGGAGGGTTACTAAAATTGAGCAGGGCAATTTAGACGTGTTTTGCAATTTAACATCTTTTTCTTATGTCCTTAACATTTGCATATGTACTTACATTTTTTTCCATCTATGTGTAGGTTCTCTTTGTGGTATTCCCGCGCTTAATCATTGTTCCTTGCTTTTGTAGGTGATTGCTTTCTCAAATTTACCCGGTAGGATTTCTCATCTTCTAAATATTCATTTGCGTCTTTAATTAAGTTTGCTTTAAGTTTGTTTCTCGAGTGATACATATATTTTTGAAATGGTTTAGTTGATTTGTGTACTGGTTTGATTAATTAGCAAATCATTGTGATTTATGTGTTGTTTGTTCATCTATGTTGTTTCTTGCATAGAAAGTTGGCTATATTAGTAAGTAAAGCGTTGTTATTGGCTTTCAGTTTGTTCTTTCATGTGGTGTTATGCCTAGAAAAGTGACGATATTGAAGAGGGTTACTAACACTGAGCAGGGCAATTTACCAATATTTATTGATGGTGTTAGTCTGGATGATTTTGTTTTGCAAGATGTACCAACCTGTTAGGATGATCAGTTTAACAGTATTTCAGCCTCTTTAGCATTAGATAAAGAGGCGAGCATTCATGTCCAAACCTCTGCACTGGTTTTAAAACAAAATAACTTTGTTGATGGTGCCTTAAACTCATCTTTACCTGGTCCCAGTACTTATCATGGATTTCCTGTACCTATTATTTTGACCGATGCTGCCACTTTGCGTGGCATCTTGGGAAAAGATGCAGAAAGTACTGACCCTCTTAGGAGCACAACTATGATTGGCCAAGCTGTTTATCAGAAGAAAAGAAAGTTTACGTGTCTGAACTATGTTGATTTTGGATCTAGAAATTGCCAATGTCAATATTGCGGTGCTTTGTTTTGGTCTACAGAGCGAGCAAAGAGCAATACTTATGATGTTGCTAGGCCACATTTTACCATGTGTTGTATGAGTGGAAAAGTTAAGTTTGCACCTGTTAAACCCACCCCTGCATTTTTAGATCATTTGCTAGATCCAACAAATTCTCGAGAGAGTTTGCATTTTAAAACCAATGTGAGGTTGTACAATGCCATGATGGCGTTAACCTCAACGGGAGCTAAAGTTGATGCATAGATCAACAAGAGCCGAGGTCCTTATGTATTTAAGATCAATGGTCAAGTGCATCATTTGATGGGTTCTTTGTTGCCTCCTGAAGGCGAGAGTCCTAAATTTGCTCAGTTGTACATTTATGACACTCACAATGAGGTCAATAATCGTTTGAGTTGTTTTTGTAATTCTGAAACTTCTCAAAAACCCGACATACAGATAGTTGAAGGCCTCATTAAAATGTTAGATGAGTGCAATGAGTTGGTTCAATTATTTAGGGTAGCAAGGGATAGGGTTAATGAAGGGTCCACATGTTCTTTGCGGTTACGTTTGCATGGTGCCCAAGCCACCCGTGATGTGCAGTATGATCTCCCAACATGTGACGGGATTGTAGGGTTAATAGTGGGGGACATCGGCCAATTTCACACTGTGAGGGATATTGTTATTGAGCACAGAACGGTAGGGCTGCAAAGGATAACAAAGTTACGTCCAAAATATATGGCTCTTTAGTATCCTATTCTTTTTCCATTTGGTGAAGACGGTTATAGGAAAGGTCTTCCTTGGAATCCAAATTTCAGAGGGAAAAAACCAAAAACTGGAGGGGTATCTATGAGAGCATTTCTAGGTTATCAAATTCAAGATAAGGTGGGTCATAATAGCACCCTATTAAAAGGTGGAAGATTATTTCAACAGTATTTAGTCGATGCATATGCCACATTTGAAGAAGATAGACTTGATTTCATTAGAGCAAATCAAAGTTCCCTAAGAACAGAGGGTCTTATGGGAATTCGTGAGGCACTAAGAAAGGGAAGTGCAAGTGGATTGGACGTTGGTAAGAGGATTATCTTGCCTACTTCGTTTACGGGTAGCGTTAAATATATGATAAACAATTATCAAGATGCTATGGCCGTATGTTGATATTTTGGAAATCCAGATCTTTTCATAACCTTCACTTGCAATGTCAAATGGCCTGAAATTGTTGAAGATATGCGTCAACAACCTGGATGTAGGGTTGAGGACAGGCCAGATATAATATCAAGAATTTTCAAAGCAAAGCTTGATCATATGATCAGCTATATAAAATCAAGACAACCTTTTGGCAAGGTTGAATTTGGTTAGTGTGCTGACTTTGTCCAGTTCTCTGCCAATTCGTTTTTTTTTTCTTTTTAGCATTCTCAATTGATATTAGTATGTTGTTCTTTTTACGACAGTAATTTACACAGTGGGGTTCCAGAAAAGAGGCCTACCTCATTGTCACATTTTGGTTTGGGTGAGTAAGGAGTGTAAGTGCCATTCTTCTTTTGATGTAGAGTCCATCATTTCAGCTGAGATTCCTGATCAGAAATTTGACCAATCTGGATATGACCCTGTTTCACAATTCATGATCCATGGTCCGTGCGGTCTTGCAAATGAAAAATCATCTTGCATGAAAAATAAAAAATGTACAAAGAAATTTCCAAAAGCTTTTACAACTGAAACGACTTTTGACCATGATGGTTTTGTTACGTACAGACGTAGGGAAACAAAAAATGTTTTTGTTCTAAAAAATGGAATCAAGCTTGATAATGCGTTTGTTGTCCCTTATAATCGTGAGTTGTTATTGAAGTATCAAGCTCGTATAAATGTTGAGTCATGCTGTCAATCAATGCTCATTAAATACCTTTTCAAGTACATAACCAAAGGTACAGACATGGCTAGAGTTGTTTTTGAGGATCAAGAGTTTGATAAAGTTGTTGCTTATCTTAATTGTAGATTTTTGTGTCCTTTTGAAGTGGTTTGGAGACTGTTATAATTTCATATTCATCTTAGAGAACCCTCTGTTGCAAGATTGTGTGTCCACCTTCCTTCCGACCAAAATGTTGTTTTTTAAGAGGATGTAAATTTAAGCCATGTTGTTAACCAACCTAATCTTGAAAGCACGATGTTAACAAAATGGTTTGAGATGAATGCTCAGGATATTGATGCATCTGAATTGTGTTATGCTGAATTCCCTTCTAAATATGTTTGGAATAACGATGATAAACAGTGGAGGCGTAGGAAAAAAGGTAAATGCCTTTGTAGAGTTGCGTATGTTCACCCTTTTGCCGGTGAATTGTACTATTTGAGAATGTTGCTCAATTACCAAAAGGGTGCCTTGAGTTTTGATCATTTAAGAACAATTAAAGGTGTTCTTTAACCCACATTCCAGGCTGCATGCAACATGCTTGGTTTGTTAGGGGATGATAAGGAGTGGAACAGTGCAATGCTACAAGCTGTTCTCACTGCCTCATCATTCCAATTAAGACAGTTGTTTGTTACCTTAGTTCTTTTTTGCAATGTTGCTGACCCATCCGCATTATTTGAAGCCCATTGGAAAACCATGTCTGATGACATTACAAGTAGAACGCTTAATGCTTTTGGGTTACAGGACATCTCTAGGTGTGAAGAGGAAGTTAAAAATTCTCTTTTGTATGAGCTAGGAAAATTGTTTGTGCCAAACAGAGAGTCCATGGACAAACTTAGAAATAGAAGCTTAAGAGGAGTTAAATTACAACACTAAATCACTTAAGGAGCATCATTCTCTCATGCTCACACAGTTGAATAAAGAGCAAAATATTGTTAATGACAATGTTATGCAAGCGGTGGATAACAAATAGGCTGCTCTGTTTTTTGTGCATGGTCATGGTGGAACAGGCAAGACTTTTTTGTGGACTACCATCATGGCTAGAATTAGATCACAAAACAGTATTATTTTAGTAGTCGCTTCATCTGGGATTGCTTCCCTGTTGCTTCCTGGTGGATGGCTTGCACATTCTAGGTTTAAAATTCCAATTAATGTTACTGATTGTTCAGTTTGTGAAATAAAGAAAGGAACTCATCTTGCAAAATTAATTGCTGATGCATTGCTTATTGTTTGTGATGAAGCACTAATGAACCATAAACGTTGTTTTGAAGCTCTAGATAGGTCTCTCCGAGACGTTCTTAAAGGGTTAAAACCAGGTTTAGATGATTTACCATTCGGAGGAAAGCCAATTTTATTTGGAGGTGACTTTAGGCAAATTCTACTTATTGTTCCGAATGGAAGCAGAGCAGAAATTGTTGAAGCTTCATTGACGAGTTCTTATCTCTGGCCGTATTTAACTATTTTTTGTCCTTAAAGAAAATATGAGGCTTTCAAAAATAGGTTTGAACGAACTAAAAAATTCCGAATTGACTCATTTTGCAAATTGGATTCTGCAAATTGAAAATGGTCAAATTGCTGAATCTATCTGTTCAGGTGATGATGAGAGTTCTTGGGTTCAAATACCAAGGGACTTTCTCATTAATTTTGATGATAACCCGATCCAAAGCATGGTTTCAGCGGTATACACAAGTTTCAAAGAAAATTTTCTAAACATATTGTATTTCAAAGAGCGAGCCATTATGACACCGCGAAATAATATCATAACTGAGATAAATGATTTTATGTTGGGTTCGGTGCTCGACAAATGTCATACCTATTTCAGTTTTGATTCTGTGTCTTCTTCGACCGAAAATGTCGAGAATCTTGATATTCTTTATCCTATGGAATTTTTGAAGCAACTTGAATTATCTGGTTTACCACACCACAAACTGACTTTGAAAGTTGGTATGCCGGTGATGTTGCTTAGAAATTTAAACCAAAGTTGTGGCCTGTGTAACGGAACACGCTTGGTTATGATGCAGTTAACCGAAAGAGTTGTACAAGCAAAGATCATTACAGGTAGCAACATTGGTGAGGCAGTTTATATCCCAGGGATTATTACAGAATCATCACAAAATAAATATCCATTTACTTTACGAAGGCGACAGTTTCCTCTGAGGGTTTGCTATGCAATGACGATCAATAAAAATCAAGGACAATCCTTCAACATTGTTGGTTTATTTCTTTCTCAGCCAGTTTTTTCTCATAGGCAACTATTAATTGCATTGTCCAGAGTTACATCAAAAAGAGGTCTTAAAATTGTGATTGCTCACGATGTTGATGTTCCTTATGGATACGCCAAAAACATTGTTTATAAAGGTGTTTCAAGTCATTTGTGTGAAGGTTCGTGTGTTCGTCTTTGGCAATTTTAGTTTCTCTTTCACTCAACATCTATTTTTCTAAATGTTAATCTATCTTATGTTCCATGAATATGATATTGTAGTTTTCACAGTTGTTATTTGCTTATTAAATCTGATCATCTGTAGATTAATGGAACCTCAACTGATTCGGTCCTTGGTGCCGTATGAACCAGCAAGCAAACTTGAAATTAGAGTATGCCGAATTTGGGTCACAAAGACTATTAGAGCTGATCCCCATGCTGCAAGCTTGGACTCTATATTTGCTGATAAAGAGGTTACAAAATTGAAACTTTATACTTACTTATTAAATACTTTAAACCTGCTTGCATTACTCATATTATTTCTTTTTTTACACTACAAGGGAAATGCGATCCATGCAACTATGAACTCCTGCGATACCCAATTCTTTTCTGAGCAGCTTAATGTCGGCTTTACTTATGAGATAAACAAGTTTTGTGTCATCCGAAACAAAACTTTGAGCATAATTGTCCCTCATAACACAATGATTTAGTTGAACAGGTGGACAACCATAGTCCTTGTTAAGAGAATTGGCCAAGTCATCCCAATGCAGTGGTTTAATCTGGTTGAATTTGATCAGCTTCACAAAAAAGTTGACAGATATGTGGAGCTAACAAGTAAACCATAACATATTTTTTGCCGGTAAACCTTTAAATTCATTTTTAGCAGTTTTAATGTAATTGACTTTACCGTTATTCTTTTTACTATACTCTGCATGGATGTTTTTGGTTGTTTAATGGCCTTACAACCAACTGAAGAGGTGAATGTGCAAAATGTTAGGGTTGCGAAAAAACGAAACCTGCAGATACAAAATATAAGGTCAATGATCTTTTTATTAAATTGGTGTTCTAAATTTATACATAAATGACCGTATAAACATGAGGTACACAACACTAACTGCATTTTGTTATCATAGAAGAGATCAAATGAGGGTCACCCGATGGGCAGAAAGTGCTACAGGTTTTCAGGAGGCTGCACTCAAAATCGCTGGTGCCGCCTGTATTCATTGCTTTGACTACTCTTAAAGTCAACCAGTACCAAGGTTATACTACCTCATCGTTTAATGTAACAACTTCAAATTCTTTTTTACTAATTGCAATCTTTGTATTTACAGGGAAACTTGTTTTAGGAAGCACAGGCTCAACGGTGTGTTTTTTAAACCCCGAAATCCCGTAGCTCACGAAATATAAACAAAGGTAAATCAACAAGTCTTCTTTATCGTTTTACAAATTTATTATTTTACTAACCATTTCTTCTCACTAAAAATGTACAAAATAGATTTCAATACCTGAACTTGCCCGTTGAGATTCTACCTAGCTCTGCTAAAGGCTATGCAAAGCCCCATGTGATTGCTGATTCTGAGTTAAATACTATTGAAGAGTTGTTTCTCCTCGATCCTACACTGAACAAAGTTAGTTCATTATCTTTACGCTGTCAAATAAAATGTTTCTTCTTTTGTGAATTGTATGTGTTGCAACCACTTCTTGCTTGATTCTCTCACATAATATGAAAAAAGCGTGTCATTTGTTGATTGTGTCTAACATTATTATGTTTGCACTGTCCTTTTAATGAACCTTATGCTACATTTTAGTTTATCTTTTTACATTAACACAAAAGCATGATAAATGCATATTTTGGTATCTACTTAAGTTTCAAAGGTGTTCATGTCTTTCAAGTAGTTGATCCATTTTTTATGAGAAAATGTTTCTTCTGTTTTGAATTTAGTTTTGGTCCAAATGTGTTTGATTTGTTTTCCATTCTTACATTTTGGTTGCAGAAACAAGTCGTCACCAATTGTGTTCTACTTTTTTGGTTCATCATCTTTTTTGCTCAATGTTTTAATACGTAATGAATCTATATATCATAACAGGATACAAAATTCATGTGTAGAGCGACGATTGTGGGTTATGATCTAAGTAAGGGATGGTGGTACAAATCGTGCCCCCTCTTGCCACAAGGCTGCAAAGAAAATGTCTGCAGACTTTGAGTGCTATGAACATGGGTTGCTGACAACATTGCCTAAACCATGGTAACAATCGCATCTAATTATTTAACATTGTTTACATTTCTTCACTCTGCGTATACTTTTAGCAGCAAACATTATCTTTCAAACTATCTGACGCAATGTGTCATCATCTGTTACTTAGGTTCAGGATAAATTTTATTGTGGAAGACAACACAAATCAATTCAACCTTATGATGATCGGAAGGCACGCTGAAAAACTTTTGGGTGTATCTTGCCACTCCCTGGTCATAGAAGAAGGATACGATGATTCTTTTATGCTGCCGTCAAATCTTAAGAAATTTATTGGCACCACAAAAAAATTCCAGCTTCGATTTGGAAATCAAAACAAGGAATTTCCCAAGGCGGATTTTGTTGTGTGCGGATTATTTGAGGAACAACCACCATCTGCCACAGCAACTAACTCGGTTGAACTGTGCACACCTGCTGCAAATGCTGAGAAACAGATTGTTAATGTTGCAACCCCTGCCTCCTTTGTGCCCTTAGAACCATGTGCTCAAGACATCCAACTGCCTGCATCAAACAAGACTACTGTCAAAAGAGCATTATTCGTTGAATCGGAAGCTGACAAAAAACAAAGGTTTATTTTTCCTTATATCACACAACTTCGTAGTATATGAACGAATTCTGTCTTCATTTGGAACCTTTAATTCTGACCTTTTAACTTGGACATCAATTGACAGCAAAACATGTGAGGAAAGCCAGCCACAATCCACAATTTTAGCTACAATATCAAAGGAATTCACCAAGCCGTCATTCACAAAATAGAACCTTCAGACAAAGTTCCTATAAGCGTACTGAGAAGCAGGTCGCAAACCAAAAAACTCAAAGAAAGGTATAATTATGGTGCATTATTTTAACTGTTATGCAAACACTATCTTTGCATCAACCCGTTATTGAGATTTGCTTTCTCATTTCCGTTTCAATGTTGGGGATGTTGATTTCCTGAAAAAATGATTTCTCAAGGATTTAATGATGGCCTGGTGCATGTGATTATACCTATGTACATTTTTTAGGCATTTTACTTCGAAACTTACGCACTGCAAGCACCGCAAGCACTGGAAGATTATGTTTTTATGTTTATTTTTTGCAATCGTTGAGGTGATAACATGGCATGCAAGACATGTATTTTGTCAAGTTGCATGCACAGACAACATATGTGTGGACTACATGTTGCTTCAATTCCTTATGTTAAAACAATATTTTGTTGTGATTATATTTTTGGTTATGTCAAACTTCTAAATAGCCCTTTTCAATGTCAATGGACCGATTATGTAAATTTAATTCGATATAACTGCAATCTAAAATACTTATTCTACCACAACGGTTAACTTTTGTGTTCGGTTTTCACATTATGTTGAACCATTTCTGTTGGTTTATGCTTTTTTAAGATTGGCTAAGTTGGGTTCTATATTTTGTAGACTAATATTGCTTCTCCCATCAGGTGGTTTGATGTAGATTTTGTGGATCTTTAGATAAGGATGATTCATAATTGCACATATTTATTGGAATTAAACTTCCAATCCGCATTTTGTGCACCATCAAATCTTATCTTAGGCTGCCAACATTTCAATATAATCTGGTGAGACATGCCATCATCAATAATTTGTGTCTTTTTCTATTAGAATGATTCATGCTTGTCTTGCATTACGATTTCAAAACCCCGCAGTAGCGTGCGAACAATTTTCTAGTTATCTATTATAAAGTTGGAGGGGAATTGGCATGTTCATGGCCACAGTCAAACAAATGCCCCTCGATTTCACCTTATTTGCAACAATACCAACCAAATTAGGCTGGGTTGGGAGGGTAATTCTCAAAAGTTCAGAGGGTGATTTTGTCCATATGGTTTAGCACGGAGCCACTCGATTTCATGCTATTTACAACAATACCAGCCAAATGGGGGCTGGGATGGGAGGATAGCTCTTAAAAGTTTAGAGGGTAATTTTGTCCGTTTGGTTTAGCACGGATTGATGGGTTACACGCGTGCGCTCTCCTCTCATATCTTGCTCTTCCTGTTTCTGTCCTTCTCAAACCCTAGCAGCCACAACTCCATCTCTGGAATAGCATCGGCTCCTGCTTCCTAAAACCAAAACCACACAAACTGGCCTCTATTTCTGTAACTCGAGAGCTTCGGTGAGATGAAGGAGACGAGCAGGGAGATGGACTCGAGTCCGCCAACGGCGGAAGAGATCTTCAGGGATTACAGTGCTCGGAGAACCGACCCCGTCCACTCTTTAACTAACGGTACTCCGATCTCTCTCTCTTCTCCGTTTCTCTCTTAATTTCCTTTTTGTTTTGTTTGAATTTCTTTTTTGTGATTTTGGGGATTTTGTTTATAGAGCGTTCATCATCGTTGAAGATGCCTCTTCTCGAGTCTTCTGCTTCATTTCGTTTCTCTCATCCAAAAAATTAATCGCTGCTTCTCAAACTCTCTCTCTCTGCCACACCAGCCGCCGCAGCCGCTCAAAGGCTGGGTTTCCAAAGGTGGCGTTTTGTAAAACCCTCCCTACTCAAGGCAAGTAATTTCATGCCCAATTTGGAATTTAAATCTATTTATTTTTTTAAATTGATTTGGGGTTACTAAAATCAGCTATGGAAAATCTACCACTGCGAGAAAACTCAAGATTCCATTATTCAAGTTTTGGGTTCTCTTCAGACTTCACAATTGTGAACTGGGCAGCCAGTGCAACTGGTTACAGAGCTTCCTGTGAGTTAAAGTTTTAAAATTTTGTTTAAATTTTCTAGAGTTTTTATCATTTTCGTTATCTCTACTGATGTTTTGCAGCCAGTTTTGACTGAATGCCGTGTTACAAAATCAGATCTGGAGCTTGCCCTTATCCAGTTTGCCAATGACACAAGCTCTGAAGCTCACGTTGAGGTTATCTTTTATGAAAACGTTCGATTGCACAAATGTGTTTCGTATATACATCATATGTGTCTTTAACAAATAAATGTCCATTTAACACTTGCTTCTGCATAACTTCATTGTAAGTATATCTGTGAGTACATGCCTGTTACATACTTCTAATAGCAAGAAGCAGCTTAGGAATGGACAGTTATTTCACTTCTGCATGAACTTTATGCGCTTTGAAATCTTTATTTTGGGCTCATTCTTATAACATCTTTAGAAATATTTCAAAACTTGATTCCCTTTTTCTTAGTCATGATTGCTATTTTCTTTTTAACCAGGTCATGAGAAAAGTTAGGGTAAGCATGTACGAGTATCAGCTGGAAAGCATGTTTGTTCACTACATGAGGCGGATAATTGTTCAGTTGTATATGGATTTGCTTTTGTTGGACTGTGCTGCTTTAAAGTTCTGGATTGGTGCTATCAGTGAAGATGGCCCCTGTGCTGCGTTGGGGACTTTCTTGATTCAAGTATTATTCACTTGGTTTTCTTATTTTCTTACAAGTTTTCATTTGAAAAAAAAAAATGCTTCATTCATATGCATTCTATATTGCTACTGAGGTTTACAATTTTTTTACTTTTTGCTTTTTATTTTTCCTCCTCAGGTAATATTTTCCTTTTACTGCATATTGTATCTTCTGTTTGGGAATGCCTCTGTTTTTCTAACTTGCTGAGAATGCCTCTGTCTAAATTTTAAGGGCCTTTCTTTGTTTCATCCAATCATTTTCTTCATTTTCTATGTCCAACTATGAAGAATTTTTTTTTATTGATATAAAGACCTTTTCTTTCTCCAATTATGCCTCTGTCAACTCTTTTTAATTTAAATGCACTCATTTAGCACTCACATTTATCTGATAGAGTAGATGAAAAAGAGGGAAACATGGATTATATATGCACCTTCACTTTGTTTTCTTATACGTCCTACCGTTACAAGATTAAATTTAACAGACATCCATACTAACAGCTTTGGTTTTCAAAATTTGTAGAAACCAGCTGTGATCTGTTGCAGGAAAGATTCAGAAAAGAAAACACCTCTAAATACCGAAGATTATGTCTAACTTTAGCATACTTGAAACCGGTATGCTATGCCATCAGCTGCTTCTAATTTTGTAAACAGTTAATACTATCTTAAAATTGAAATGCCAATGATTCGAAGCTCATGACTGAATTTTATTAGTTATGTAAGATTTATTGAATACTTTTTTTCAAACTGTCTCTCGCAGCAGAATCACTGCCACCAACAGCTATGGTTGAGCAGTTCGTCGTTGTCCAGTATTCCTCCGAAATTCAACTATCTCTCTTTACTCTCTCTGACTCAGTGCGTCTCTATTCTTCCAGGTACACCCATATCTATATCCCAAACGACTCTTTATATGTATCTATTTGTTAGAGTGGCTTTTCCCTTTTGGGTTCAATTTTATCTGCTGTCTGCATTGGATTGGATGTCTTCTCGGTCCTTATTTTTTTATCCAGCAATGGAGCTTGCATTATCACTTGAGAAATTGGCAAATGAAAGCTGCTTCACTTGCACAGTGTAAAACATTCATTGTTATTGTATGATGTCTTCTTAATATAAGATGATTAGGTGTAGGTGATTATATTTTGTACCAGTAACGCTTTGGTTAACTATAAATCCACACACCATTTTCATAAGATTTGTTTTTCTGCCAACATGTTAATTTTGCTCAATGATAATGCCATAATTGGAATATTTTTTATAGAAATGATGTAATGGGTTAATCTGAAATTTCGAACTGAACTCTTACATGACTGCTTTTGCACATGCTCCTCTTTTTTGGTTGTTGGGTTTTATTTTTAGTTCATTGTTTGGTAAATGCAATTGTTGGTTTTGCAAAGAATTGACTTTTATCTTATTTATATTTCTCTATGCATGTAGTTTCACCTTTTTTGATCTCGAGTATCTGGTTGGCTTTATTTATCAGGCCCAGGGTTGTGATTCTGGATGCTAACATGATTAACCACAGGTTGGTGTTCCTTGGGAACTTGGTGCGGAGAAATGCAAGCATGTTGCAGCATATTATGGGTAGATTACTACTACTTTTTTTCCCCTTTCTGTAAATGATGCTAGATTTTAACCGAGACCAGATTGTATCAAACAAAAGCATTGTTTTCCAACTGGTATAAAACAAGATTCTTTTCCCCCAAAAAAAGACTAGGTATCCATACTGTATCGTTATTTTCTTTATGGTATAAACCTGTTGAATCAATCATTGAATTGGTATTGGAGTTTTTGTTTGATCAGAGAGTGTTTTTTTGGGTGAAAGTTTTAATCGGTGAGACTCGGAAGAAAATGGAAGAATTTTCCTTTTGTATGCTCTAAGAATCAGACCCTACGCATTCGTACTGTTTAATGCTGAGAGTTTCTATTCTGTTATATTATAATGGAACCAATGCAGGTTTACTTTGACGACACGAGGAGATTCAGAGTTGAATTTGATGATTTTTTTGAGGAAGGAATAATATCAGAAATTGAAGTTGGATTAGGTCTGTGTGGAGAGCTACGGTATCCTTCTTATCCTGAACGGCATGGTTGGAAATATCCTGGTATTGGTGAATTCCAGGTACCTTTATAAATGATCCCTCCTTTCATTAGTGGCATGCATAATAGCTAGGGACTGACGGTTATTTCTAAAGTTAAGTTAATAGCCCTTCATTCATCTGTGGTTATGACCTTAAGCCTGTAGCTCATTTGATTTTTTACTTCTATCAGAACTTTGAAGTAGTTCTCTGATTCAACCTGGTTTAGTCGATCCCCTTTTGGCGCGATGCCAATTTACGGTTCTTATCATGTAAATTGGTTGCTTCTGTTTCTTATGGAAACAGAGGATTTTTTGCAACCACATCTTGTGTAATCAAGAACGTTCAATTTTGTCCTGTTAATTGTACAATGTCTTTTCATATCAGCTATGTTGAATGTATATAAAAACCAAGCTGCTTATCTTACCGATCCATTTCACTCATCTATTCCTCTATTCATTTATGGTTATGTTTAATTTATTCAGGTTAAATGTGTCTTATTCATGCAGTTAAGGCTTGTGCATTCAAGTCCCGCAGCAATGCATGGGCATATTTTCTAGTAATCTATTCTCAAGTTGGAGGGGAATTGGCCTGTTCATGGCTACAGTAAAAAAAATCCCCCTCGATTTCGCCTTATTTGCAAGAAAGCCATCTGTTTTAGGGTTGGGTTGGAGGGTAATTATGAAAAGATAGGAGGGTAATTTTGCCCGTGGGATTTGGGTGCCCTGCTATGCACGTGTTGGGCTGACCACTACATCGGGATGCATTCATGGGATCGACGGCTGTGCGTGGGATTTGGTGAGGGGATGTGGGCCCTCAATTTTAAGTTAATTACGTTTGTGCCATTGTTTCATTTTCTCCAACCCTTGCAGCTGTGGAAGCCTCCTACCCCTCGAGAACTCTCTGCTCTCTCTCACCTTTCTGCAAATGAATGAAAGAAAAAAAAAAAACCCTAGCCGCGCCTCCATTTTACAGCCATAGCTTCGAAAAAAAAAAAATTCCCCAGCAAGTCCGACAGCCTGAACACCCCATCAAACCCTAGAAATCGTTTCGTTTTTTGCGTATCTGGAGGGCTCCTCCTTATTTCTCCCTGCTCTTTGCTTCCCCAAACCCTAGAATCCTCCCCATTTCCCCTGAACGAGAAATCCGAAACCCACAGCCCAAAACTCACTCATACGTCACCCCTCTCCTTGGTTTGCCACTTTCCTCATCAATGGTTCATTCTCTCCATTCGATTCAATTTCGGTGAGTTCTTTCTCTGCTCTTGGGGATTTTAGGGGATTTTATTCTCTTCCTGGTTGCTCTGATAGAAAATCATGATTGCTTGATTTTTTTTATTACGACAGTATACTTTCTCTCTCACTCGATCTACTTTTAAGTGATTGAAAATTGGGTTAGTCATTTTCCATGTTTCGAATTGAAATGCAGCTGAATCTGTCTCCCTTCGGCAGTGTTTTGGCGAATCCGTTTGTGTTCAATGGCGATTTGAGCGAGGGCACTGAGAGCTCTGGGGTTTCGTTTTTGGTTCCCTATTAAGGGGGTGTGATGGATTTGTCAAAGGTCGGCAAGAAGATTCTGAACTCCTTTAGGTGTGCCAGATTGCTCGGCCTTCTTCCTTCTGCTTCTGATTGCCCGAGGTGATTGAAATTTCAGTTTTTGCACGTAATGCTGTTCTTAAGCCCTCAAATTTGATGCGTTTTGTGTTTAGTTGTGTGAAATTTGATTGTGTCGGAGGAAAATCGAGTTGAAATTGCATAATTAGATCTTATAATTTGAAAAGTTTGTTCCAAGTGTTTGTAATTTGCTTTATATACTGAATAACAGTTTGGTTTGGGTGATTATCTGCGGTTTTGTGTTAATTAAGAAGAAGGTTAAGTTTAATAAGTATCATTTTAAGAGCAATGCTTATTTATCTGGCAGTGGTAGATAGTTAATTCACTGTTAAGTAGGGAATGAAAATGTTGTGCTTACTGCGAAATTTAGCTGATTGGTGCAGGGTTAAAATAAACGTTTATTTTCTATCCTAAATGTATTCATGTGTTGTTTACCTAATATATGGAAGCAGACATCATGGTCAAAAAGTGGAGGAGATAGAAGAAGAATTCTATGAAGAGTTGCTACTGTATAATTATTATTATTTTTTTAATACATTTTCATTTGGATTTTCACAAAACATAACACATGAGTAAGTATGTTGGTTTTTTATTTTAGTTGTAGAAATTAACAAACATATATTACATACCTTTTCAGGTGATGACATCGACAGTGTTGACATCATGGACATGGGGTTGTGGTTTGTCAACTATTTCCAGGCCAATAGTTTATAACTATTGCCCATCTGTTCTATTGAGGTATTTTTATATTTTTGTTGTTTAAATTTATATCTTATTCATCTTTTGTGAGCATTCGTTCCAGGATTTTACGAAATTCTTAAAATTTTATTTAATTGAATTTATGGTCGTTCAGTAATTTTTTTTAATTTCCAGAATCATCTAATCCTATTGATGCAACGAGTCGTAGGGGAGCCACGAGTTCACCGAAGCTTTCAAATTTTGCCCACTCACTCATTGTAATCTCCCTTTTCCTCTGTCTCTCTGTCTCTCTGTCTCTCTCTCTCTCTCTCTCTCTCTCTCTCTCTCTCCCTCCCTCCCTCTCTCCCTCTCCCCTGTTTTTCTATCCTATTGCATTTGGGTTTTCCCCTATTTCTCTTTCTGTTGATCTAATTTGAGGTGAAGTTTGAATTTTGGTTGAATTGGAATGTGGGTTTAATGGGTTTCCTTTCGGTTGTCGATTCGACTTTGGTAGGATTGGCATGTGGTTTTTCAAGCTTTTGCAACCACTTTGGGTCTGGCAAAGGTAATAATCTTACTGTTCATTCCATAAGCTTCATTTTGTATGCCCAAAAAAATTTGGAAGGAAAACATGATGGGAGTTTTAGGAAATGCCCATGTTCTGTAATTTTCCCCATTTGTTGTTTTTTGCAATTTCTTTAATCATGTTAGTCATATAAGCATGTTTTTCTCTCTTCATTACATTCCGAATCTTTAAAATCCTTGCCGATTCGTGTAATTTCTCATATATGTTTCTATGGTTGTTTGATTTTGGTTTCTAGGTTATAATCTTAATCGACAAGATGCAAAACGAGGAGTCAATCATCACCGAGCTCTACATCCCGAGAAAATGGTATTCAATCGAATCTAATTGGTGAATGTATACATGAGAGTTAACATCGTTGTTTCTTTGCAAATACCACTGCTGACCTTATTCAAGAACCATTTTAACATAATAGGTTCTATTTGGATGATTAGAGTTTTGAACCTTTTCTTTCCCCCAATTCCACATGAACTGAGTTTTATTGCTGAACAGACCTTGGTAAATATTTATAACCAACTAAAAGTGTTTTCTTTTGATTATTTTCCAATATATTTTTTAGCCAATTGACAACCCTAAAAGATTTACTTACACACACATCAAATCTGTGTTTCATAAATATACCTAAGATGTAATGCTAGATATTTTTTTATAGTTTCTTCTGCTCTATTCTATGCTGGATAATACTGTTTTTCTGTATATTGTAGATCATTAAAATTCTGCCATGTTTGTGAAATTGAGATTTTTAAATCGAAGAACTTAAGAAAATTGTACATATTTTTTTGGATAAATAATATTATCCACATCTCATGTTATATAAAACAAAAGTTTAAAGTACTCTCTCTGTGTGCATGAATTTGAAACTTTTTATATTTTCTAGAAAGAGAGACAATGCAATTGCGTTTTATTGTTAGAGAAAGATGTGTCATTCTGGATTTGTTTAAAAATGCTTAAATAATTTGTCGTCGTGCAAACAAGTCCATTGTGGGTATGAAGGGAATATGTGAATATCTCTTACATGAATGACTTTTATCATTTCCAGAACAATGTGATTTCACTCGATTGAACCAAATTGATTTGTTATTTCCCCATTTGAAGTTGAAGAGTCGGATTGGTGTGAAGCAATTGAGAGGCACATACCGTCTTCTAACTGGGTCAGCTGCAAATCCCCTTTTTTAATTTATTTTTTTTAAATTCTTGATGGATATTTCTATTGTTTTCTTCGATTATTTAATTGGATTTTGATTTTTATCTTTGCCATTTTTGTTTTCGCTTTTAATTTTTTATGTTAAAAGATGTCGTATTGTGTTTTCGTACCAAGTTATCCTTATTTGTATCTCTCACCAAAATATATACATGTAAAATCGAAGGAGACTGTAGTGTAACTCATTATAAAGTGACAAGCCCTATATACATTGATGCAATAAAATATAAACGATATCAATCCCCTGCAAATAAATGTTATTATGTTAACAAAAGTAACTTCAATTCTTAATCGTTAGTTCAATTACGTTTTTTCCATTCTATCTAGAATCTTAAATAGGGAATTTCATGTGTCTTAACAAATAATTCCTGGAGTTTTATTAAATTGTTTCATCTAATGTATCTAATATTTTAATAATTGCTTATTCCTTTTGTTTGGTTAAAGTTTGGTTCCATTTGTTTTCTGTATTGCCTAGCATGTTGCTCCGTCGCATCAAAGAGGGCTTATTTAAGCTTGGGTTTCTTGGCAGTGGCTTTCTCCATTGACCTCTACACCTTCGTCTCTCCTCGATTTCCCACTTCCTCCGGTGCAATCTCTTTTTCTTTCTAATCTCTTTTGAGTTTCTTTCAATATGTCACTTTATATAATTTATTCTTTAATGTCAGATTTGGTGAGTTTGATTTGGGTTTGTGAATGTCTTCTTGGCTTTTCTACTTTGGATTCACACAATAAGTTCAATGGTTGTAAACAGAACAGAATACTGACTTGCGAGCAAGGCAATTCAAAGCTTGAAAATTTGTATGTTATGCATGAGCTGACTAATATTTTTTTGTGCACTTTATTCATGCCTGTTGTGGATAATAGCTTGAAAATTTGTATGTATTGCATGAGCTGACTAATACTTTGTAGTGCACCTTTCTATGCAAATTATTCATGCCTGTTGTGGATAATAGTTCCAAAACCTGTAGCGAAGCGTGGGCAATTTTTCCAGTGTTATCTATTTAACTAGTTTTTTATAAGCGCGCATAAGAATGACTAATTAATAAATTCATGTGTTTTGTCAGAATTGGTACATTTACTTAATACATCTATTATTTAACGGTTATATATCATCACTAGTGCTGCAGCATACATCGAAGACGTACAAAACACTGATGGATCAACATACAAAACACTGATGGATCAAGGTACATTTCAATTCTCAATTGGAAAATGGTAAATTCCCTCAGCAGGGTAGCAGTCTTGAATACCATATATTCTGCAGCAGGGGAATATAAAAGCGATAGCCCTTGGTTAATAAGTACTAGGAAGTAGTAGCTGCAGGTCACTCATCCTTTCTGTTTTTTTACCTCATGGCAGGAAGTGGTAGGAGTTTTCTCGAGGAATTGCTACTACGCGGCATTCAGGAATACTTTTCCAATTTGGGCTCTTGCAGAATACTGCAATATATTACAAAAATGGAAGTAAAGGTTAACAAAAGGCTAAGCACTTGCAGTAAGCACACCGTTAAATAGAAGGTTATGTTTCTTCTTCTTTTCTTTAGTTTAGATACCAGATTCCGAATTTGCTATTGCATAACAAAGAACGCTTATTGTATCTGACGTGGACTTCCTTCCTTGACATTCAATTACAGAAGTAGAATAAACCCTTCAGGTTCTGTAAGAGTAAAAAGTCGGCATCGAATGAAGATTCATATAGTGTGAAATGGAATTTGGTTATATATTTAATCACTGCCCATTTCTTACGGCGTTTCAATGGGGAGTGAATCAAGTTGGAGAGCAGAAAGTACTAAAATGTAACAGATTTTCAAGGAAGCCTCATATTCCTTTAGTTTGTATGAGGTATGACATTTCGCAATGCATGAAATATGTGTGTTTAAGTAAAATATAGATATATATATATATATATATATATATATTTGCATAGATTTCATTCTTTAGCGGTTACAAGTTCATCAACTCTACAGACATAAAAGACGAAAGGAAAAAAAATTGACACAACCAAGAACTAGGTTTCATTGGTTTTGGTTGCATTGGAAAGTCCAATGAATTTCCTTTAGCTTGTGATCCAAGGCTCAAGCAATCTTTTTTATAGGCAATGAAACCAGCGTGCGATATTCTCCAAGAGCCCACAATGGGAAGATGTTTCTGTATGCTGCATAGTGCAACATAGCATTCCTCATAAAAACTCCCATCAGTTCCTGTTGTGGGAAATCGCCATCATCCAATTGACCATTCATTAACGCTGCAGCAGCACGGTGAATAGGAGTTGGATCTCTCTCAGCCTATAACAAAGAAAAAATATCATTTAGAAATTTATGTTTGGAGGAAATTGTAAAACAGAACACCTCTGAAATGTTTAAATCATATACTGACCTGTCGACCATGAATCAGACCCATTAATCCAAGTGCAGTTTGGATCAAATTTGTGCTATTTTGAGCTGTATATTTCTAAGGACGTAGAACAAGTAAAATATTAGGATTATGCTTTCTTTGAGGTCAAAAATGTTACATTTTCGTTACTAATGAACTTGATTGGTACCTTATTTGTGCATGAGGTGTAGTGCTCTCCCCAGCCACCATCTGCCCTTTGTGTTTTGAGCAAAAAGTCAACACCTTTGCGCACTGCCTTGCAGTTATTATATGTCCTACCAGCAGCCTCCAGTCCTTTGATTGCGAACCATGTACCATACACAAAGCAGATTCCCCAGTTTCCATACCATGAGCCATTAGGGTACTGTATGTCTTCAATGTAGTCTGCTGCCCTTGTCATGAAATTGTTAATCTCCTTCCTTTTATGGCTAGGGTACAACTTCCTAAACAAAGTCAAGGCCTGGATCGAAGATGAAGTGCATTCGATGTACTCATACTCAATGATAACGTCCTCAAGAAACTCCACAGGGTTGAGCCACTGAAGAGGGAAAACAATTTAGTATATGCAAGTTATGAGACATAGTGAAATGATGAAATCTTTTAAATTCTTCGAAAAAAAAGTATAAGATTTTCAATTTTTATTACCTCTAACCATTTTGGTGCTCCTGTTGGCTCCCAGGGTGATACACCACCATTTGGATTCTGAAGACTCAAGATGACATTGACAGCATCATACATACACTCAGCTTCCATTGGCTCACCAACAAGTTCTGGTGACATATTTGCGAAAATGCAGCAACACTAAAACAAAACATGTTACAAGTTAGCAACATTTTCATCATAGATGAGAGGCACAATCTTCAACTTGAGTTAAGTGCACGAGTAAAATCACTCACCGTCAGTGCTTCTGCGGTACAATCCGACACTTGCCATCCATGGTCTCGGTCAGACAATGTCCACGCGCCCTTAGAAATGTGACGGAAGTGAGCTAGGTAGTCACCAGAAGTATTCACCCTCACCTACAATGTTACATATAGGATGTGTACTTTTAGGTCAACTGAAAATGTCAACACATTTGAGTATGTCAAAGACAGTTACCATGACTTGAATATGTACCTGAGATATCTTGAGAAATTCGTGTGCTTTCTTAAGGGTAGGTGCCATTTCCGTATTTAGATTGCCAGCAAGTAAAGCTTGAATCGCAAGAGCACAATCCCATGACTGGCTTCCAAAACTCTGCATCTTGATTCCATCCTCTCCAAGCCAGATATAATCGGTAGCTCTAGCAAGATGCTTCTTGAAAGCTTGTCCATTAGGATCCTCGGCCCAGCAAGCAAGCATCATTAATGGCTTTTCCACACATCCGATTGTAATGTAGCGACTGTTCTCATCTTCATAATGAATTTGGTCGATTGTGAATTGAATGGCATTGTCTCTGATCTTCTTGAAGGGCCAGCGTTTTAGGAGAGGCTCAGCGATATTGTAAAAACTGTCCCACATAAAACGTTGTATACGACCATGGGGATAGTAGTTATCGTCCTGAATTAGTCAACAATGCAAAGGACAGTTAGTTTATGCATGTGAACAAATTTCTTCAAGAACATAATAAAGTTGAACAATAGCGAGAACTCTACAAGGACAAAGAGGTAAACTCACCGGTGCACACCAATGGCGCACTTTAGGCCAGTTGATTTCGCTGTAAGGTTCACAGTAAATTTCTTGTCTCAATTCCTTAACTAGAGGAGTGATCGGGCCAACAAATCTTGTGGCATAAAAGTAAGACATAGGTAGGTAAGTCAACCTACAGTAGCAGAACATTTTTGCTGCAGATATGAAGTAGTACTAGTTAGAAAGACATGTAACTATTTTGAGTAACAAAAAACTAGGGTGTGGAAGAAAATTGTACTTACATGGATGAAAAGGAAGCAGTGTAGACCCAGTCCAGAATTCCGGGGGCATTGGGTTGCTGCCTTTCCAGTCATACACACCAAGAATCTGCAACACAAATCAAGTTAAACCATTTGAACAATAAAATGATCTCTTATGATACATTCCTTAAGTGTGCATCCTTTTGCAGTATGAAATACTACTTTTATTTAAATGAACAAGTATGTTATACGTACCGCCATCCAAGTTTTTCCCCATGATGCAGAATAGTAAGCACCACCACGATCAAGAATCCACTTTCGTGCCCTTGCGCATGCATTGTCACGCCCACCATCAGGGCCCTCTCCGAGAATACGCATCATACAGTAGTTAAGGCATGTTGTAAACATCATACTAGGGCCTGATATGTGCAATCCCCACCCACCATCTTCATTTTGATGGTTGTATGTGTAACGCAAGATTTCCTTCTTGTGTTCAGCTGAGAAAATAACATTGAGATACCCTGAAATGTATGCAGCCATGGCCTGTAATTTTTTGGCATTGGAGAAAAAATAAAGTAACAATTAGTCAGCTATCGTATACAAGTGCACCAAAAACCCAATTTTTTTACTATCACTTGCAACATCTTAATTTTTTACTATATGGTAAATAAGGAGCAAATTACTCACGAAGGGAGGGAAGAAAAAGTTTAGGCCAGCAATTTCAGCAGGCCAATGTCCATGGGGTGATTGCAAGGCATTCCAGAAGGTAGCAGCCCTCCTGAATGCAGATGTGGCCTGATCATATGTAATCTCCTCACCTTCCCCAATTCTTACTGGAGGAATTTCTTGTTTGAAGTTTTTCTCTCTTAAAATCTGCAATTGGGAAGGTGAGGAGATTAGACAAATATTAGTATTTTTTTTTAATACAACAATATATTTACATTATGGATTGAAATTTAGACACGAGAATAGAGCTTAAATCTTGTCATCATTTATATATAAAAAGAAATAACACTGCACTTTATTAATAAGTAGCTATAACTCATTTATTAGAAACATTTAATATTACCTGAAAACGCCATAGGAGGTCACTGCTAGGCGTGATCTTGAAGCGATTTTGATAGAAATGCTCACGAGCAGCTTCAACTTCTGCTCGCTCCTTCTCGGTACCTGCATCTGGGTCGAACTCCCATGTCTGCCTTCCATGGAAGTTGTTTGTGCTGAACAACAAGGGGTCGTTTGCACCTTCTCCAAACTTAATCCTCCACATCTTCTTTGATGACTTAATAAAAATACATAACGAAATTAATTAGTAAGGGCTTGAATATAGATCCAAGCAATTAGTTCTATGTAATTAAAATACGAGATATTTTGGATGCGGTCCCTAGTCCCTAACACTCTTTGATTAAAACCTTAATGGTATTCAAAGTTTGATCAAAGTCCCTTAACTTTGTACACCTCATTATATTACTATTAATATTTATATTTTTATAGTTTTGACATTAATTGTTTGATATTTTTTTAGATTTATAATCCTATAAATTTAAAATCCCTCATTATAATAGTATTATAAATGGCAACAATAAAAAAATTCAAACATTTTGATTGAATAAATGGATAAAAACTATGTAACATTAAGAAATAATAAATGGCAAAAGAATATATTCATAGTGTTAAAAAAATTGGTTACAAAAAAAATTGGTACATTTCACATATAACAAAGTGGTACATTAATGAAGAAGAATGAGTACATTATAAATAAATTAGGGTCCAAATAAAAGATTAAAAAATTATGAGTACAAATGAAATTTTAAAATATATGGGAGGAAAAAGAAATTAATATATGGGTACAAATAAAAACTAAAAAGAAAATACTACAAATTAAAAAAAAAATGTTGCAAATTAAAAGTTGGTACAAACTAAACATATAAATATATGATACAAAGTTTAGCCATAAATGTAACATCCCACATCGCCCAGGGGAGTGGATCATGTGAGCCTTATATGTATATTCTCATCTCTACCTAGCATGAGGCCTTTTGGGAGCTCACTAGCTTCGGAGTTCATAGGAACTCCCAAGTTAAGCGAGTTCACACGAGAGCAATCCCATGATGGGTGACCCACTGGAAAGTTCTCGTGTGAGTTCTCAGAAACAAAATTGTAAGGGCGTAGTCGGGGCCCAAAGCAGACAATATCGTGCTATGGTGGAGTTGAGCCCAGGATGTAGTGAGGACCCAGGCGGGGACATGACAATAAAACATAAATATACCATATGTAATTTTTCTATCATTGATTAATTATACAATGTCACGTGACAGTAACAAAAAGAAATTAATATATGGGTACAAATTATAACTGAAAAGAAAATTCATACAAATTAAAAAAGGTTTGCAAATTAAAAATGGGTACAAACTAAAAATAAAAATATAAGATAAAAAATTTAGTCATAAATATAAATATACTAATTGTAACATTTTTAACACTAAGGGAATATATTTAAAAGTAAAAAATATTTATTATTGAAATAATTAATGATATTATTAATACTCAAGGACCTTGATTACAAATTGAAAAGGAATAGGGTTTTAATCAATGGAGTAGCAAAAAAAGGGATGAGAACCTAATTTCTTTTTAAAATATATTCAAGTAGGTTTTTATTTTTCTGAAAGGAAAGAACAAAGCTGGTTGAATATGATTGAAAAATATTTATCTAAGAGGCTAATGAAATGTTGATCCATCTATGATTGGTTGAATATGATTGAAAAATATTTATCTAAGAGGCTAATGAAATGTTGATCCATCTATGATGGAGCTCCTGTTAGGGTTTGTAGCTGTATTGATTGTGAATATTTACCCCAAATGTCAGAGTTCGAACTATATTTCCGTTTTAGCCTTTTTGTGGAAAAAGGAAAAAGGAAAAATTATGATAAAAGAGGTTTAATTGAAAAGATTGATCGAGTTCTACAACTCACTGAAAGCTCTTCTTGAT